CCATATTGACAGTTTTGAAGCAAGTTATTTCCCTCAAAGGCTATTTCTGTGAACACCTGACAGGTTAATTACAGGTGTGTGTACAGGAAAACAACAAGGCCTCATTGTAATGTTTTTGAACCTTATCTGATTTGGTTGTACAAAAACAAAGGTTTTTACATGAGAATGCTTTGTAGTTGGTCAGTATTTTTCAGTACGGAGATGTTAGGAATTCTAGTTAGAATCAGATTCAGAGCATCGAAAATACAAAAAATTAAAGGTAACATATATTGTTAACTTAAAGGCACATAATTATGTTGACAAATTGCCCATTTTTTCAGAGGATTGTGTTGAAGTAAGTTGTTTGTACGCCACACTCAGCAACATTACAGCCATATGACGGAGGTCTGTAAATAATCGAGTCAGGACCAGACAATCCAGTGATTGAAAACATGAGCATCGATCCACACAATTGGGATACAATGACATGCATCAACCAAGTCAGCGAGCCTGACCACCCGATCCCATTAGTCGTCTCTTACGACAAGCATAGTTGCCTCTTACAGGAAGCATGGATTGCTGAAGACCTATTCTACTCTGGATCTTCACGAGTCGTTGAAGTAAGTCATTGGGGGACCAATAAGGTCTTTGATAGGGATTTAGAAGTTGGAAGAACATGAATACATGACACTTTTTATGGATAACAGCTTTTTTTATTCTTTGTAACAACGTTTCAGAGCTACTTCTGGCCCCTTCATCAAGTGATTGAAAAATAGTTGTAAGTGCTATAACTTTTGTGCAGAGTTGTGTCCCTTAGTCAAGTCAGGATCTCCAGTTTTTCTCCAATTTTTATTGTTATGGAAATACCATGCATAGACCAGTACTGATTTCCCAAAAAGTGGTAAATGTCTGAGACTATGCCAGGTTCCCCTTGATTAATGAACCAAGATTTGTCAGCACCATATCCCTGCCCGCAAGTTTCAGTGAAAATTGTCTATAACATCTGCATCAATGGGCTTTCCTTGCCGAAACAATTTTATAAATCTTAGCCTGGTTTGTGTACTTATCAATATCATAAATCTTAAGTCTGACTTGTGATGACGATGCATCATTGGAAAAAAATCCTTTTCAGTCATAGAAAAATCCCTTGGATCTCTACGGTATGAAAAAATCATTCTGATTCTGATATGATTATAATTTGTTTTTATCAATTTTTAAGGTTGGTGGATTCTTAAACAAAGCGAAGAAATTGTGAGGTTGAACTTTATATCTGAGATCACTTTGAAAACAAATACCTAAATATGATGGCTATACGTAAACTGTGTTCCCGTGAATATCCGGGTTAGAGTGAGTGAGTTGGGTTTAACGCTGCTTTTAACAGAATTCCAGTTATATCGCGGCCTGTCAGCTTAATGTGGGAGGAAAGCCCGAAGGGATGCAGGTCTCAGACATTTACCACTTTGGTGAAACCCACGAGCACGGGTATGATGCTGACAAACCTAGAAACATAATCGGGGCGAACTGGGATTCGAACCCACAATCATAGGTTTCTGGCGTGCCCAAGGGACGCACCTTAGACGACTGGGCCACCCGTGCCCCCTCCGGGTTAGAATTGATCTTCAGCAACCCATGCTTGTCATAGAGAAGACTATTGATGCATTTCATCTTCTATCAATTGCGTTGATCGATGCTCATGATGCCAATCATTGAATTGTCTGGTCTAGACTTGATTATTTAGAGACAGCTGTCATATAGCTGGAATATTGCTGAGGGTGGCGTTTAACGACAAACAAAACAAACCTACACTGTGTGAAAATACTGAATATGATGTAAACTGTGTACATGTGAATATCCGGGTTAGAATTGATCTTCAGCAACCCATGCTTGCCTTAAGAGATGACTACGGTATGTTTGTCGTAAGAGGCAACAAAAGGGATCAGGTGGTCAGGTTCGCTGACTTGGTTGCGTAGATTGATGCTCATGATGTCAATCACTGGATTGTCTGGACCAGGCTTGATTATTTAAAGACAGCAGCTGGTATATTGCTGAGTGCAGCATTTAACAACAAACAAAACAAACCTACACTGTGTGAAAATACAGACTGTTAAACAAAAATGAACTCCAAACACACTGTTTGGGTGTCTAAAATATTTTCCTGCTCATATTGGAGGATTTACATGATGTGCTCTCAGTAAAGAGAACTTTTGGAAATGTGCTTCTGTTAGGACCTTAAGGAAACACAACTTATATAAAGGTAGGTGTGTTTGGCATTAAATAACAAATTGCTTTGTTGCTATTAAACAATCCATAAAAATATATTTCTCAATTGAGTTTTTAAAGAAACTGACGGGACACCTAAAATAAAACTGATCATGTACCTTTAAACATATGAAATGTTGTTAGGCAAGTACTCTTGTTAAAAATATAATGTGACAGCAAACAGATATTTCATCTTGCTTTCAATTATAAAGCAATATTGTAATGTTGTTTCAGCAAAAGCTTTAATAGTCAAATCATAGTAATTTCAAGCTATTCAATTGCCGAAGCTACTGTTGCACTTGAAATAATGTACCAGACAATGTCAACCAATCAAATTACTCTGAGATACAGAGCATAATACAAAACAATCAGATGTGATGGAGGCCATTTTGTTCTCATTGTCACTAATTTCGCTTAATGTCAGCTGTAGGCTTAATGGTCAGCTGACGTGATTATTACTTATTTTCATCTGGTAACACAATTAATTCCCACGCTTCATGGATATATTATTCATTTATGCCTCCGTAAATATCGTACTACATCGTTAACCTGACATATTAACTTCCACACCACTAGTTCTCTCTTTATCAAACTGTTCACGTCATTCTATTTTATTCCCCTAAAGCATGATGAAGAGATCATTTCTTGTGTAATTGTTTAATGGATCAGCTGGATCTAAATCTTTGAAGTAAAAATATTCTGAAAAAATATTTGCTATGGACATTATCTTTACTTGATAAGTTGTTTTGTTTAAACTTTAATTTGACGTATGTTTTTAAAGGGTAAAAATTACCTCATACATCTTGGCATATTGATGTAAAACTTTGTAATCAAAGAAACAAATGGGGATGCTCAAAAGTAAAGAGGATTTCAACTAATCTCCGGTTTCAAGTATCAGCTTTTTCGCAGTTGTAAAACAATATTAATCACATTGTTGTCAAAGCTGCACATTTTTTATGCTTGGTTTATGGGTTTGCAGACCTTAAAAAATTAAACTTCAGAAAACAATAAAATCAGAATAAAAAGTTTTGGTTTTTATTCCACCTTTGGTAAAGATCACTACTACAATTTGAAAAACAAAGGAATATTTATAAGACTAAAACGATAAATGTTTATAACAGATTTTAGATCTTAAATATTACTAAGTTCCCAAACCAAGCCAAGGTTTCTAAAACATATTTCCCCTACCTATTCAAATCAAATGTTAGTATGATTAGAACAATCAGGTACAAGTTTTATTTATTTTATACTTCCAAATAATTTTTTCTCTATGAGCAATCTGATCCTGGCATGCAAAAGGGAAGCAACTCCTGACAGTGTGGCTGCAGTGTGATGACTGATACTTGTTGACTGGAGCTTGAGGCACCATTTCACCATTCATGTGATTCAGAGTTACGTCCCTTGGGCACGCCAGAATATTATGATTGTGGGTTCGAATCCTGGTTCGGCCTGTTTATGTTTCTAGGTTTGTCAGCCCCATGCCCGTGCTCGTGGGTTTCACCAAAGTGGTAAACGTCTGAGACCTGCGTCACTTCGGGCTTTCCTCCCACATTAAGCAGACACGCCGTGATATAACTGTAATACTGTTGACGGCCGCGTCAACCCCAACTCACTCACTCAGATGACAATGTGTTGGGGATCCACCATGTAATAAAATGATTTGACAAATTATTATTTTTCAGTATTTTCTCACACATGCACACACAGACCGAATACCAAATGGTTTCTCCCTTAGCATGGTAACCCAACTTGTTTTTATGCCTTGATTCACAGATCAGTCAAATTTCTTTGAATGACCGGACATGAGGAAATTAGCACTATTTTTAACGCTTTAAGGAACACAGCTCTCTTGAACTTCATTTTCAAACTGTGACAAGAAGAGAGAGATAAAAATTAAGTGTCTGAAGAAATACAATTGTGTTTGTTGCCAATATTTCTTTTCAAGTAAATAAAACATCATTGTATTTGTGAACAGCTGCTAGTGTGTTTATTTTATTAGTTTTTTAACATTATCTCACTGCAGAGCCGTTACTCCTGCGAATTCAGAAAGCTTGGCTTGCTCTCTAAGTCTAAATACTCAAGACACTGAATATAAACTCAGCTTGTTACTTAGTCTCTGGATACCGGCCCGTGGCTTAGTGGATAGGGGGTCTGCCGCGAGAGCGGAAGGTCCGGGTTCGATCCCCGGCTGCATCATACCAAAGGTGTTAAAAGATGTTACTTGTTGTTACCCTGCCTCCCACTCAACATTGAGTGACAAAACAAGGACTGGTCAGCTTGGTGTCAGTATACTTTGTCTGAGCTGGGTATCAATGTTAAACTGAGGCATGGTATCTCAGTAGGCTAGCACTATAAAACTGGCATTGGTTCAGACTATAAGCAGCAACACACACACATGCATGCATGTTGCGATATAAGTGCAATTATCTTGAACTTGATGTTAAACCTCGTTTCACCTCACCTCACCTTAGTTCATTTCAACACCATCTCCAAACCCACTGAAGCCTATTGTAGGTCTCTGATTAAGGGGGCGGTGGGGTAGCCTAGTGGTTAAAGTGTTCGCTCGTCACACCGAAGAGCCGGGTCCGATTCCCCACATGGGTACAATGTATGAAGATCATTTCTCGTGTCCCCCGCTGGGATATTGCTGGAATATTGCTAAATGCTGTGTAAAACAATACTCACTCAGATTTAGACATGGCTCATTGTTGTGTAACTCAAAATTCACTCACTCACTCATGTAATGTAACGTCTCCTTTCAGTATCAGGGATGAAGTATGGGCCCCCGCCTCTGCAAGTTGAGCTTCCGCTCGCTGCGCGACCTCTTCCTCCTCCTCATCCTCATCGCGGTGCTTTCCTCCATGATGACCCTCCACATGAGCAGTTACCTCCCTTGGCTCCAGTCCCAACCCGAGCTTAAGGTCCATGTAGACGGGCACCTCAACATCTACCGAAGTCTTCAACTGAGTGAGAAGAGGGAGGATGGGTCGAGGAAGAGGCTGCTGTTCCATGGGAGGAAGAAGATGTCTGGAGAACACCGGGCTCTGGTTGCAAGGCTGTTGCAGGTAGGTGAACACAGGGCAGGACGTGTCCACAAAAAACTTGGTTGCAGTGGACTAGCCAAGCAGCTGTCCACTGGCTGTCACATCCCTGGAATAGAGCTGAAACAACAAGTCTAGTACAAATAACATGTATTTACAATCTGACGTTCAAAATGTGCTTAGTCAGCATGATCTGTATAGGTTCTTTGTTTTGTTTGTTTAATGTCACACTCGGCAATATTCAAGGAATATCATGGCAATCTGTAAATAATCGATTCAGGACCAGACAATCCAGTGACATCATGACCATCGATCCTTATGGCTGGGATACGATGACATGCATCAACCAAGTCTGTGAGCCTGACCACCTTATCCTGTTAGTCGATGAGCATAGTCGCCTCTTACGACAAGCATGGGATGCTGAAGTCCAATTCTCTTCATGGGTGATCAGTAGAGACTGGGGCGAGTCCAAATATACCACCTGGGAAGCCAACCCCTATTACCCGGGTACCCGCTGTAGGTCTCAAGAGATAGGTAAAATGTCCGCTTGAAATAATTTGACCGTAGCCCTGGAAAAAATGTATTTAGATACACATATAAAATGATCTGGTCATGCATACACTGAAGTTGACTGAAATTTTATCTTTATTCAAACATTTTAAAGTCAGAAGGAATGGGTGCAGAGTCAGAAAGAAATGCGAACATTAGTGACTTGTAGTGTAACAATATAGTTCCAAATCATTTTTGTCATTGAACAATATATCACTGACTAACCATAGGTCCGGGTAGTCCTGTGGGTACCCGAGTCCTTCTCAGTACCCAAGTTACCCGTCCCAGGTCTAAAAGACACTGTAGTGACACTTGACTGATTGTTAGTTTTGTCATTAATTGGTACACATTGAAAACATCTCTTCCTAATACATGTATATATACTTCTCTATATGTTTCTATGTTTAGCATTCCTTTTGGCAGTGAGTATATTACTGTGTCCAAAGGATCATAGCGTAACCCTCCCATTACATGACATTACATGACAATGCTGGGTAATCTAGGCCTGCATGACACTGGATTACGTCGTGATGTTTCTGCAGGGGTTAAGAGTCCATCCTCAGCACTACATATGTAGGTTGAGGCCGGCTACAGCCACTGACACAACCATCAGGTTATCTTTACATGATAGGGTCCTTCTTCAATCTTCCTAATACCATCAAATAGTCTTCTGGGAAATGTCTGCTGTTGAATCATATCTTCTTGGATAAAGAAAATCCTTCTTGCTCACCTGGTATGTCCCACAGAGCGCCAAGGCTCTTAGCGCTAAGGTGCCACATGGTCTGTGTTTTAGGGTGTACATTGCTAACTAATTACATGGATTTACCGGGTCATTTATGTAGGGGGCCAGGGGACTCTAGCCTTCAGTTGTAGCGATCAGAGATTAAAAATTTGGGTTCCCAAGCTACTAAAAAGAGGGGCCAGGGTAATGGTAAAAATTGAATACAGAACTCTATCACTAGTGATTTTACTGGACTTTTAGATGTGGACTTCCCCAACTGAAACAAATCTGCATTACTGTTGTGTACAGTATTGCTGACCATTGTGTACAGTACTGCTGACCATTGTGTAGAGTATTGCTGACATTATGTATAGTATTGCTGACCATTGTGTCGAGTATTGCTGACCATTGTGTAGAGTACTGCTGACCATTGTTTACAGTACTGCTGACCATTGTGTACTGTATTGCTGACCATTGTGTAGAGTAGTGCTGACCATTGTTTACAGTACTGCTGACCATTGTGTACAGTATTGCTGACCATTGTGTACAGTATTGCTGACCATTGTTTACAGTACTGCTGACCATTGTGTACTGTATTGCTGACCATTGTGTAGAGTACTGCTGACCATTGTTTACAGTATTGCTGACCATTGTGTAGAGTATTGCTGAACATTGTTTACAGTATTGCTGACCATTGTGTACTGTATTGCTGACCATTGTGTACAGTATTGCTGACCATTGTGTACAGTATTGCTGACCATTGTTGATTGTATTGCTGACCATTGTTTACAGTATTGCTGACCATTGTGTACAGTATTTCTGACCATTGTTGATTGTATTGCTGACCATTGTTTACAGTATTGCTGAACATTGTTTACTGTATTGCTGACCATTGTTTACAGTATTGCTGACCATTGTTTACTGTATTGCTGACCATTGTGTAGAGTATTGCTGACCATTGTTGATTGTATTGCTGACCATTGTTTACAGTATTGCTGACCATTGTTGATTGTATTGCTGACCATTGTTTACAGTATTGCTGACCATTGTTTACTGTATTGCTGACCATTGTGTAGAGTATTGCTGACCATTGTGTAGAGTATTGCTGACCATTGTGTACAGTATTGCTGACCATTGTGTACTGTATTGCTGACCATTGTTTACTGTATTGCTGACCATTGTGTAGAGTATTGCTGACCATTGTGTAGACTACTGCTGACCATTGTGTACAGTACTGCTGACCATTGTGTACAGTACTGCTGACCATTGTGTACAGTACTGCTGTGACTGTGTAGAGTATTGCTCACCGTTGTGTAGAGTATTGCTGACCATTGTGTACAGTACTGCCGAGACTGTGTACAGTACTACTGAGACTGTGTACAGTACTGCTGAGACTGTGTACAGTATTGCTGACCATTGTGTACAGTACTGCTGGCCATTGTGTAGAGTACTGCTGACTATTGTGTACAGTATTGCTGACCATTGTGTACAGTATTGCTGACCATTGTGTAAAGTACTGCTGACCATTGTGTACAGTACTGCTGACCATTGTGTACAGTACTGCTGACCATTGTGTACAGAACTGCTGACCATTGTGTACAGTACTGCTGGGACTGTGTACAGTATTGCTGACCATTGTGTAGAGTATTGCTGACCATTGTGTACAGTACTGCTGACCATTGTGTACAGTATTGCTGACCATTGTTTACAGTATTGCTGTCCATTGTGTAGAGTATTGCTGACCATTGTGTACAGTATTGCTGACCATTGTGTACTGTATTGCTGACCATTGTTTACTGTATTGCTGACCATTGTGTAGAGTATTGCTGACCATTGTGTAGACTACTGCTGACCATTGTGTACAGTACTGCTGACCATTGTGTACAGTACTGCTGACCATTGTGTACAGTACTGCTGTGACTGTGTAGAGTATTGCTCACCGTTGTGTAGAGTATTGCTGACCATTGTGTACAGTACTGCCGAGACTGTGTACAGTACTACTGAGACTGTGTACAGTACTGCTGAGACTGTGTACAGTATTGCTGACCATTGTGTACAGTACTGCTGGCCATTGTGTAGAGTACTGCTGACTATTGTGTACAGTATTGCTGACCATTGTGTACAGTATTGCTGACCATTGTGTAAAGTACTGCTGACCATTGTGTACAGTACTGCTGACCATTGTGTACAGTACTGCTGACCATTGTGTACAGAACTGCTGACCATTGTGTACAGTACTGCTGACCATTGTGGACTGTATTGCTGGCCATTGTGTAGAGTATTGCTGACCATTGTGTACAGTACTGCTGACCATTGTGTACAGTACTGCTGACCATTGTGTACAGTACTGCTGACCATTGTGTACAGTATTGCTGACCATTGTGTACAGTATTGCTGACCATTGTGTACAGTACTGCTGACCATTGTGTAGAGTATTGCTGACCATTGTGTACAGTACTGCTGACCATTGTGTACAGTACTGCTGACCATTGTTTACAGTACTGCTGACCATTGTGTACAGTATTGCTGACCATTGTGTACAGTATTGCTGACCATTGTGTACAGTACTGCTGACCATTGTGTACAGTACTGCTGACCATTGTGTAGAGTATTGCTGACCATTGTGTACAGTACTGCTGAGACTGTGTACAGTACTGCTGAGACTGTGTACAGTACTTCTGAGACTGTGTACAGTATTGCTGACCATTGTATACAGTACTGCTGGCCATTGTGTAGAGTACTGCTGACTATTGTGTACAGTATTGCTGACCATTGTGTACAGTATTGCTGACCATTGTGTAAAGTACTGCTGACCATTGTGTACAGTACTGCTGACCATTGTGTACAGTACTGCTGATCATTGTGTACAGTACTGCTGACCATTGTGTACAGTACTGCTGAGACTGTGTACAGTATTGCTGACCGTTGTGTAGAGTATTGCTGACCATTGTGTACAGTACTGCTGACCATTGTGTAGAGTATTGCTGACCATTGTGTACAGTACTGCTGACCATTGTGTATAGTACTGCTGAGACTGTACAGTATTGCTGACCATCAACTCAGACACCCACAAACCAGAATCAATTTTAATGCCTACCTTGTTTCACACTTTACTTTTGTCATGGAGTGGAAAAATAAAATGACAAGCATCCATCATCTTTTTTCTCTCGATTTATCAAGTGCTACCAACTTGTAGCAAGCGCCTACAGCTCCCACTTCAGCTGCTCATTAAGCTAGGCTCCCTGTTGTTAGCAGATAAACTGTATACCGTACACTAATGAGCCTTGAACACTCAGGAGGACAGGCGTAAGTAATGTCCCATATGGCGCCAATGGAGGGGCCAATGTTGGTGCTTCGGACACTCAACAATGTGTTTCAGTTTCAAGGTCAACCTCAATCCAGTGATGTCAATGCATCATCTCAATCCAGTGATGTCAATGGCACCACCTCAATCCAGTGATATCAATGGCGCCACCTCAATCCAGTAATGTCAATGCATCATCTCAATCCAGTGATGTCAATGGCACCACCTCAATCCAGTGATGTCAATGGCACCACCTCAATCCAGTGATGTCAATGGCACCACCTCAATCCAGTGATGTCAATGGCACCACCTCAATCCAGTGATGTCAATGGCACCACCTCAATCCAGTAATGTCAATGCATCATCTCAATCCAGTGATGTCATAGGCACCACCTCAATCCAGTGATATCAATGCACCACCTCAATCCAGTGATGTCATAGGCACCACCT